GACGCAATTGTTTACTTATCCAGCTGCCTGATTGAGCATGGCCCATGCTTGGTATGTGCGACCTCCATTATATCATCCTCCCGCAGGCCAATCTATCGATTGCTAAATCGGGGAAGTCTTGTCTGAGCTGCTGCGACGGTGCATCCGAGACGGGTGGCAGGCTCCCAGCTGGTATGTAGTCGTAGTGTTGGTGGAGCGGGATCCAAGTGAAGCTGGTGGGGATTTGGAGAACTGAACTGGAGCGGAGCTTCTCTGCGAGCCGCCAAGCTTCAGGGCCTTCAGCGGGTTCGCTCCAGCGCCCCGCCACTATATCCCGGCAGGGTGAGGGGATCCTGGGCAGGGCAAACCAATGATGGCCCAATACTCCGGGCACGTGTTGTTCTTCTAGAAGACCTATCGATCTCTCTTCCATCAATCGCAATGCAGCCCAGCAGTTAATTACAATTGATGTAGCCCGCTGGCAGGAAGGCACGTGGGGGGTATGATCAACCTTGTTCATCAATGTAGCATCCGCGTCTGCGGCACTGAGCTGACCTCAACCCAGTAATGTGTCGTAAGACCAACTGATTGATAGACGGGCGCCAGAAGCGACGTCGGAGGGAACCTGGAAGGAGACAATATTGCTTTAATAGATCGATGCCCCGGCGGTAATACCGTCCAATTCCCATTTCCCCGAATATCCGAGCCACTTAGTTGCTTGAGGCTTCCTCTGTTGTTGCTTGAGCATCGAAGCACGTGTGTGGATGGCGACGCAGCCCTGGTTGAATTAAGCAGGAGGTAATCTTAGTTCGCCGTCGGTTTCCTTAGCCGTTGCGTCAGCGAGGAAATAGCGGCAGTCTACGGTAGTCTGTGAGGCCTCTCAGTGACATGGCCGTTCAGATCGTAAACCTAAATGAAAATAACTCTAAAAAGCATTGGCAGAGGTTATATTGGATTGCTGCTTGTTTCAAAACAAATTCTGACGTCTAGGTGTAGTGACTGGGGAGCATATTTGAGGCCTCCACAGGTCACTCCTCATAGCCTAGGAGGCTGTGAGCCCACTGTAACCGCCCGCTGAGCCCCTGGAAATCGCCCATCGGTGGCCCCAAGAAGGGCTAATAGGGCTACTCCTCCCATTGCAGGGACCTTCTCTTGGCACGATGGCCTCTTGGTTCACATCCATGAATTGAAATTGAATATACCTATCATCGATTTGGTGAAGCTTCCTGTTAGTACAAAACTAACTGGACATAGTTTCCGAATCTACTGTCCCATCAATTTCGGCCCCTCGAGAGAGGATTTTCCCCCACCCGAGAGAGCTCCATTCGGATGGATTCTCGCACGCTTCCACATAATGCTTGAGCGCCAGCACCAGCTGGGCCGCCCATCTCTCGTAGCTGACGAGTCCACAGCCTGTTGCGAGCGGCGTCATGAGCAGGCTCGTGATCTCTGTCTCTCCTGCAGCAGCTCTGCCCTCACGAACATCGCGGTTGTGGTTGTCCACTGCACATAAGAGGCTCCAGATGCACTCGTACACCACCTCTCGATCCCACCGCACATCCATTGGGACCCTCATGGTAGGGCACAGGGCAACATACTTGGTATCCCACTGGTTGTTGGACCTGGAGTGGAACTCGTCAGGGATGCGTACGACCGTACATGTCCCCGGCGGAGCGAAACCTCGCCATCGTCGATAGAGCACCTCCTGCGTCGCCCTGGTCAGGGCGTGGTAGTCGTCCTCGGGGGCAAACGCACACGAGATGGCATCGTCAAAGGCCCCGTCGAGCCTCCCATACGAGTTGGCGGGGGAGACGACGGCATCGAACTTGACCGACGCGGGGAGTTTCTCGAACGAATAGTAGTGGATGCTGTAGTTCACAGCGTCGGGCAGAGGGTTCTCCGCCGCCGCGGCTTCAAAGGTATCCCCAAATCTCCTGTACATGGACAGCAGGTGTATGTGCGGGAGTCGGACGGGATTTGGGGTCGCCATGATTCACAAACAACGGGATGGCTTTCTGAAGAACTTTTCTTGATCACCAGCAATGCGGGGTTGAGAGGGTTGCTCAGGCAGGCAGCAGCTCCAGACATTTGCATTGCGTCGTGTTACGCGCATTTGCGGTGCACGATGGTATGCTTACTGACCGACCCATGTAAGCTTTAAGAGGGGCTGGGAAACCAGTCTCAGAATGCCCAGAAACATTCGGTTCGGGATGGGCTTACCTTTTGTCATTGTCATCATCAGCTGCAGTCTCATCACGATTTACTATTAGGATCAAAATCAGCTTTCAAGTCCGGGAAATCGATAGGGATTGGATTCTTTGAGCTCCTACTATAATCATGTGTCACCATAGTATATTAAATGGCCACTTCCCGGGCCAATCTTGGTCACAACCCTTTCCGCACAACCATTGTATCAGAAACCTAAGACTCGTTGTTATCCGTGTTCTCCTGGCTCTGAGTTTTCGCACAACTTTTTTCAAACAGCAAAGAACGATATTGAGAAGAAAAAAACACAGGCCATGCAAAAGTGAGGCCATTCGTTATCAGTCGTTACAACAAGCACGGGAGTTGTCAAGCGTGGTCCCCCTTAGATACCTGTGCAATAGTCATCGATGCTGAAGCGTCGAGAGTTGTTGTTGACCCCTGCGGGCTTCTTTTTCTTGTCTTCGGGCTTTGGCGCCTCGTCCAGCTCTAGATTAAAGATCTCGGGGGTAGAAAGGCGACTTGGTCTTGGTTCAACGGCGATTCCAGGGAATTCAAGCGTCTGGATACTCACACCGTCAACGAAAAGCTCAGCACTCAGGAGCCAGACGGCACCCGAGGCTTCTTCGCGGAACCGAAGATCATGGATGTCGAAAACCCAGTGATTCTTCTTCCTGATTCCCATAATCTCAGTAGAGCCGTAGATAATGTCTGCTGGATGGCCTTCAAACTTGATAGATTTGTTGAAATTTCGGTGCAGGACCCCGATGCTAACTCGGGCTATGCCGGGATAGTGGTCGACGTTGGGCAAAGGCCAATACTCGAGTCGAGGCTTTGGGCGGAGAGCTTCTTCAGCGTGTGTCTCCGATGGAGGGGATTGATCCCACGTAAGGCCCATGATTGACAAGTGACGATTGGATTCTTGGTGAGGCTGGTTGGGATTTGCGTCGGAATTCTCTGAGTGAGATGCGGCTAGAAGGTCTGGTTGTGCGATGTTGGATGAAGACAAATCCAAGGGCGAGAGCTGAATTATATGCTGCATTCTGGACGATTCAAAGACGCTGATCTAGCATCTGACTTTGACTTGATGTTCGCTTCAATAGTCACAGGGCTGTTTCTGCCAGGTCTCTATTCACTGCCAGCTCACCCCATTGTCTATGATTCAGAGACTTCATGATGGGCCCCCCTTCACCAATGAAAATTTTCGTCAACAATAGAAACAAAACGGCATAGACGGTGCAACAATAATGCATTTCGGGTCGAAATTCGTGAAAGTTACCAAGCTGCGGTGATTAGACGGTGGCCATTGTCTTTCTCAGTACGTGAAACCCTTTGCCCCTATTTTCACAATGCCGGAATCGGCGTGATCGGGATCTCTGATGGGATCCAGCCTACATACTGCCGTAACAGCTGTGCAATAACCAATGCGGACATCCGCCTGTGATCAGAAACTTCTGTGTCTCCAACCCAGATTGAGATATGCCCGCAGCATGTGCTCCCGTTGCTTTACCAGCCGGACTGTCATGATAATTTCTCTCATCATATCTCCATACGAGACTCGACTTCATACACTGCTTCAGTTTCATCTTCTGCAAAATGGGATAAGTATTCTAGCTCATAAAACTAGATTGAAACAGACTCTCATGAGCATCTACCCATATTGTAAGGACACAATAGACGTATCACAGACCCAGAAAAATGAGACCCTCAAACAATTCCCAGACTAAACTTCAGCGAGATTGAAAATTACTCTATTCAGTCCAATGCTAGAAGGAGCCAACCGCATGGGGAGGTATGTCTGAACAAAATTGGGCGAGATGAAGTGACTTACATTCTTGCAGAGTTATAGCTGTCACGTAACCAAACCTAGATTATCCATGAAGAATCAGATATTTCAAGAGGTGGTCCTATATTTAGCAATATGCCCTTGAATCTTCTTATCTGGTAGTCAATAGGCCATCTTAACCAAATAGCTTGCTGGAAGGGTGGTTGTTCAATTGATGGTAAGTAGGCATAGGGTATGTTAAATTTACTTGGTCTAAAAACACGATGCGGAAACCGGAGAAATACCTAGTCCCAGGAGGGGCAGTGGGTTTTAGAGGTACCTCCGTACCTCTTGGATGTGGCGGGGTACAGGTTTTCTTGTGCGGCGTGGGTCAAAACAACCCCTCCAAAATCATCGATCAGGATTCACGCCACTCCTTGGCTCGAAAAAACTACATCACCAAAAAATCAACCAACCCAAATATCTATCCAGAGAAGTCATGAGCGGTGTTGAGCTCGACAAGCTTGCTGAGGCCTTCGCTGCCGCGGACTTCAAGTCCCTCGAGCCCCTCCTCCTCCAGCTCGAGAAGCACTTGACCCTGCGAACCTACCTGAGCGGATACGAACTGTCGGCCGTCGATAAGGATGTCTGGTCCGCGATCCGCAAGAGCAAGGTGGCCATGGGCCTTGCACGAAAGGGAACCTTCGCCAGTGTCACCCGTTGGTTCAACTACATCGAGGCTGCCCACCCCGAGGTGAAGGAGGCCGCTGTCGGTGGCCCCAAGAAGAACACCGGTGCCAACTACAACATTGGTCTGACCAACACCGAGGCCGGTGTTGTCACCAGATTCCCTCCTGAGCCTTCGTAAGTTCTAACGAATCTATGACTTTCGCTCTTAGCTGGCTAACAATTGTACCGCAGAGGTTACCTTCACATTGGCCATGCCAAGGCTGCCCTCCTCAACGATTATTTCGCAAACGAGGCTTTCAATGGAAAGCTCATCGTTCGATTCGACGACACAAATCCATCCAAAGAAAAGCAGGAGTATGAGGATTCAATCATAGACGATGTGAAGCTCCTCGGTATCAAGATCGACCGCATCACCCATACCAGTGACTATTTCCAGGAACTCTACGACACCGCCGAGAAAATGATCCTTGCCGGAAACGCCTACGCCGATGACACTGACCCCGAGGTGCAGAAGAAGGACCGCATGAACCGTCTTCCTAGCGCCCGCCGAGACCGCCCCGCTGAGGAGTCCCTGGCTGTCTTTAAGGAGATGAAGGAGGGAACCGAACATGGAAGAAAACATTGCATCCGAGCTCGCATCGCTTTCGACTCTAGCAACGGCTCTATGCGAGACCCTGTCATTTACCGATTCCCCAACTTTCAGGATAAAGAGCCTGCACCACACCACCGCACTGGGTGGACATGGAACATCTACCCCACATACGACTTCGCCTGCCCCGTTGTAGACAGTCTCGAGGGCGTGACTCATGCCCTGCGTACCACCGAGTACGCTGACCGAAACGAGCAGTATCACTGGTTCCTCAACGCTCTGGATATCCGACGAGTAAACCTTTGGGAGTTCGCCCGTATCAACTTCATCAAGACCTTCCTTTCCAAGCGTAAGCTGACCAAGGTTGTCGACAGCGGCAAGGTTAGTGGGTGGGATGACCCTCGTATGCCTACTGTCCGCGGTATCATCCGACGAGGCCTGACTGTTGCTGCCCTCCGCGAGTTTATGCTTAAGCAAGGCCCCAGCCGTAACATCGTCACAATGGACTGGACCACGATCTGGACTCTCAACAAGAAGATGCTCGACCCCATTGTACCACGCTTCAATGCCGTGGATAAGAAGGATGCCGTTCTGGCAACTATTGAGGGTGGCCCAGAGACTCCTTACTACGAGGAGCGACCCAAGCACCCCAAGAACCCCTCGGTCGGTAACAAGCAGGTGAGGTTCGCCAACAAGGTCTGGATGGACCAGGCCGATGTCGCAGCCCTGGAGCTTGGCGAGGAGTTCACTCTCATGGCATGGGGCAATGCCATCGTCAAGGGACTTGACAAGAGCACCACCCCAATCAAGGAGCTCCAGCTCCAGCTGCACCTCGAGGGTGACTTCAAGACTACTAAGCAGAAGATGACCTGGCTTTCCGAGAACGAGGGCAAGCTCGTGGAGGCTGAGCTCTGGGATTTTGACTACCTCATCACCAAGGACACCCTGGACAAGGACGATGACTTCGAGGCCTGCCTGAACCCCAACACCGCTACCGTTGTCGAGGCACTCTGCGACCCTGGAGTTGGTGAGCTCAAGGAGGGCGATTTCCTCCAGCTCGAGCGCAAGGGCTACTTCCGCGTGGACAAGGCCGCGGGACAGGGCCCCAACGGCAAGGCAATCCTGTTCCAGGTGCCCTCCGGAAGCGGAAAATAGAGTGAATAAAGTAAAATAGCTATGCTACGAGAGATGAACAATGGAAATACAAAAAACATATATCCTTTTCTAGCGTTATCTGGGACGGGACTCAAGGTTATCGTACTATACGGGGTGCATGAATTGTTAATGTAGACAATGACAGCCATCAAGCATCAGAAATATCTCGCTGTGACTGGTATCTCTCCAGGTCTTAAAGTGAAGAGGCTTGTATACATCTCCCATATAAATCACTACGCCTCAGGTACATGCAAGAGGGCGAGCTGCTATGACAGTCGCAATTCGACCATCACATCACAAAGCTACCACCCCATCCTCTACGGCGCAGCTGTTGCAGCAGCCAAGACGCTAGATACACTCGTCCACGCCGGCTTCTTAGCCAGGTTATCATCATACAGCAGCGCGGCGCCCTGACCGGGGAACGTGTCCGGAATCCAGCTGTACTTGTCCGTGACGCCCCAGACGGTCACGCCGACGCAGCCGTCCACGTCGAGGCACGAGCCCACCACGCTGGCGAAGTCGTCGCCCTGCGTCGCCAGCGCGCTGTCCGAGGCCGGGAGGGACGAGTGGCGGATGTCCACCTCGGTGTAGGCGACCTCGAGGCCGAGGGCCGTGAACCGGCGCAGCGCCGTGGCGAGGGAGGACCGGGAGGGGGTGGACCCGACGATGAGGTGGCCCTGGAAGCCGACGCCGTCGATGGGGGCGCCGGCATTCTGGACGATCTGGGCGGCTTCGACGACGCGGTCTGTCTTGGCGCCGTTGTACTCGAGGTTATAGTCGTTCAGATATCTGAAGGAGAAGGAAGTTAGGTAGTCAGCACAACCAACGATCATTGAGAAGGGCAAGCGTACAGTTTGGCGGAGGGGTCGGCGGCTTTGGCGGCGTTGAAGGAGATGGCAAGGAAGTCGGTCCCCATGGTATCGTAGAAGACGCTGCTTCGCCAGTTGCCGCTGTCGTCGGCCGCCTCGTTGACGACGTCCCAATGGTGGCAGGCACCGGCGTAGTGCCCGACCACGTTGGCAATGTGGGTTTCGATAATGCTTTGCAGGTCGCTGTATGAGAACCCGCCGCTTGAGACTTGATACACCGTGTCAGCTCGTGGTCGTTTGGTGGATAGATTTCTGACAAATGCTTCACATACCCCAGCTGGGTAGCTGGCTGTGCCAGGTGAGAGTATGGCAACGAAGAATCTGGCCATTGGCGGCAGCAATCCCCGGAACAATATCACCAGAAGTGTAGCTGAACTGCCCACGGCTGGGCTCAGTGCTGTCCCATTTCTGACCGTTCTCAGGTGTCAATTGTCCAAATTCACTGCTGTCAGTGCCAAGGGATAGATATGCTGAATCACTGGTATGGCTCTCTCCAAGAGCAGTGCCGAAGAACTCGAGTCCAGCCTTGACAGCGAGGTCATGAAGTTGACCTGAAGCAGCTGATGCCACTGTCAGGAAACTGAGAAATGTCCGTGGTGAATACATTTTGATCATCCGATGTCTGGTGGACTGTCAAAGGTGGAATCGATTGGGATAGTCCAGAGGTCAATCCTGGACTCTTTATACATCTCGATTCCCTGTTTCACGTATCCTAAAGAATCGTGGAAGAAGATCTCCCTTGATCGGCCCAAGAGTGCCTGAATAAAGCTGCGGAAACGTGGTGACGGGCCGAGATTCCTATTGCCTTGTCGCATAGCCCCGGATTTTACTGCAGGCTAAATGCATCGTGTTCCAGTTTCTTTCGTTTCAGAGATAAATTCAGGTACAAGCCGGTCATGATCGTCGCCATCTTACCCTGACACATCGGCAGCTGTCTCCAGGAAGGGCAAGATCAGCTCAGCTTGATCCGAGAAGCGCCTCCAAGCCTAATATGATATTTCGGTCTTCAGCCTGAATACGTTCCTGGCTCTCAAGGTAGGTGAATTCAAGCTCATTTCTGTTTGCGAATCCTCTTTATTTAAACCACCATGACGATCCTTTCCGAGCCCACTCTCCAAGCATCATCCCACGCGGGTAATCCCAAGATTTCTCCTCCTCATTGGAGCGTTTTCCCACCAGACACCAGCCCTTGCGAAAATCGGGTGGGCCTCATAGGATCCGCATCACGGTTCTTCGTCTTCCGTGGATCACGCACCTAAACGTCCCAATAATAATCTCTCTGGTCATGCTGGTACCCATGAAATGCCGTGATAGAGTTCGTCAACGTATTCGATCCCGTTCCGCGCAAGGCCGTTTCATATAGTCGAGCCGATGTCGTCGCCTAAGCTTCATATCATCTCGGCCGGCCGGTCAAGGGGTAAAGGATTTTATAATCTAAACAATAGAGCCTGGCTTCTCCAGATTTATATATACAACAGATGTTTTGGAGTCTAAAACGCCGAGTGGGAGCCAAAAAGCGTCCCCTAAAGGCAAGTCCCTAAACAAATCCAACATGTCCAGCCTTGTTGAGTATCTTGTTCCAAACTAGAGGCAAGGTCCTCCTAGGCATTTGTATCCTCCCGTGGTTGATAATAACATAAAACAATAATGGCATCCCAAAAAATGCATCCGTCCCAGCCCAACTCCTGGCTATCCGCAGATCATACAGTTTCGTAACAACATGGGGTATCGTGGTAAATAAGGTATAGTAGGTTATAAGAAAATTTGGTTTGGCGCATGCAGATCACCACCGAGGTGCATTTATGATCAAGCCCATGAGACAGCCCGATATCAGGGCCGTCACGGGAACTGTGATGATCCAGCCGAAATAGATCCAAGCCACAAGCTTGGGATTGATGCACTTCCAGTCTCCGTTCGCCAGGCCGACGCCTACTGTAGCGCCGGTAATGCACTGGGTCGTCGAGATGGGCAGTGACAATCTGGTCGCCATAAGGACCGTGAGGGCGCTGGACAGCTCCATGCAGAATCCGCGGCTCGGCGAAATAAGGGTCAACCGGTTGCCCAGGGTTCTCATGACATGATAGCCATATGTCAACAAGCCGAGCACAATAGCGCCGCCACCCATACAGAGGATCCAGATTGGCACATTCACCATGTCATCGACCTTACCAGATCGCCAAACCTCATAAGCCGTTGCGAATGGCGCGATGGCGTTGGCGACATCGTTGGCTCCGTGTGTAAATGAGGCCGCAGCGGCGGTCAGGATTTGGAGTGACGAGTACATGAACTCGACTCGATTATCGTAGTGAGTAGCTCGGGCATGCATGTCTTCCAGATCCCACTTGAGGACAAGATTGCGCTTCTGCATGCTAATGACGTCTTGTTCGATCCCCCGGAGCAAAAGCCTATTAACTCTCCATCCCAAAACTGCCCAGCTGTTCCACGGGCCAGCTGGTCGCGGAGGGATGAAATTATCGGTATCGTTTTGACCGACCTCAACCGGGGGAGTAGGCGGTCGATCCTCCGGGATAGCAGGCGGGGGGAGTTCCAGCTCGGCTGGCCCGTCCTCGGTCAACTCGGCCGGTTGTTCTCCATTTGGTGTCTGTACAGACTGTAAGAGAGACTGCGAGGCCCGCAACGAAGCTAGCTCGTCGGCGGTAAGGTAGCCACGGTAGTAGTCTTTGATTTTGGGTTTGACATAACCAAAAGGTGTAGGTGGCGGTGGCGGGCGATTGAAGATCATGGGCCCCAGAAAGGCGTGATACCATCGCAAAGTCCAATCCTCCCGGAAGATTCGCACCCATAAGTAGGGCAGTATAAAGAATCCTTGTAATGCGGCCACGCCTCCGGCGGCACAGAAGATAGCAATAAGAATGATGTTTGTCGGTGTTTCTACGTCCCTCTCGGTTCCCTTCCAAACGATCAACACTTTTGATAGGTTAGCCCTTACTCCAGCGAGCATTTGTGACGGCGAGGTGAAAACGTACTGACGATACACCCGACGGTTAGGAATGTGAAGGCAGGGATTGAGTAAAACGCCCTTATGACAGCCTTCGGGGTGGTAAGAACGAACTTCTTCGTCATGAAGAACATGATGGCCCCGAACAGTCCAGCTATGCCTGGCGAAATCACCCAGGCAGCAAAGACCTGGGGAACACCCCTCCATCCCCAGTGAATCTTGTCGATGCCCACCGAGGCCGTGGCCGCACCTACAATCCCTCCGACGATGGAATGCGTCGTAGATATAGGCATCCCATGCCTTGTCGCAAACGTGAGGAAGAGAGATGATGCGATAATTGAACACATCATGGCCAGGAGAAGAACCGCTGGGGCGTCGTCGAAGAGGTGAGGGTCTATGATCTGCGTCCGGATGGTGTGGGCTACTCTGTCTCCCACCGCGATGCTACCGCTAAATTCGCAAACCGAGGCAATTGCCATCGCTTGTTTCAAGGTGAGGGATCTGGAGGAGACCGACGTCGCGAAGGAGTTGGCGACATCGTTGGCACCTGCGGGTCTGTCAGGTTCCCTTGCCTGCAGTTCAGCAGCAGTATATTCTTACCAATATTCCAGGCATCAAGGAAGGCGAAGATGGTTGATACAGCAAAAATGTAATCGTATTGATGAAGAGTCGGCATATTGTAGCAGCCTAGACGGAGCCATTCCTCCGTCGTCAAGAACCAGCTAGTAGATAGAGTCTCAGAGAAATGTATCTCTTGCAGGGAGTTTCGTTATGCGGCGCGCGCGAGCGGTGGTGACAATGAGTCGGGTCCAGTGTCAGGGCTGGTCCTTGTCCATCATGAGGTCAATATCAGACAGAGTGACAGAGTGGTAGCAGCGTCACGATAGTGGAAGTGGGATGTGAAAGATCAGTCGACCGGGAGCCAGCTACCTTAAAGAAAGGGCTGTCAGCCCGATGTGAAGTTGAAAAGCCGAAGTGGCAAGGGTGGTGCTCAAAGGAGACCACACCAACGTCCCACGATCTAGACAGGGCGTGATCGATAGTTGCTCCACCACATTCGGGTTCTTCAAGCTTGGGAGGAACGGCAGGGTCTACCCGACAAAACGCCCTAGCGGTCCACTCGAGGATCGGCCTGGTGCGTTGAAAACAGCTCTGCAATGGCTGGATGCAGGCGAGGCAGCTATCTTCGGCCGTCAGCCCAAGGTCGAGGCCATCCCATCGACATAAACTCTGAGACAATGTGATATTTTTGGCATGCACATCACATCCATCAGGATACTACCATAAGCCGTCCAACCAGCAGAAGAGCTGAGACGGAACACTCGTGTATGTAAGTCTGCACATGTCGCCGGCGGAACGTTGGGGGATTCTCCATTAATCGGGGTTTGGCTTATGAGTCGGCCGTGATGAGGGGCCAATGGCGTTGCCGGACTTGAGCACGGGCTCGAGCGATCCACGGCCAGACCCCCGTCCCGTCAATCTCTACCAGCACAGACGACGTCCCAACCTGCTGCTTGAAGGAAAATCCCCAGCCAATCGCAATTCTCATCTTACGCTCAAGGCTCATTCCTCCTTCCTCTGGCTATCCGATGCCACCGCACTGGTGGTTCGCTTGCCCAGTTAGAAGCCAGCTCGTCTGCCCGTGACGGCCGCCGATGGCTTCTGGCTCCCCAATTTCCTCTTCAGCCTTGGCTGACGACTGCAACCGCTAGGCACGAACCAACACGGGCAGAATGGGCAGATGGGTGAAGCCGCTCGGGTTCCATGTTGTCGAAGCAGAGACCAGGCACGTGGGCAGGTGATTAGCTTGACGCCTGGCAGCTTCCAGGAGCGAGAGACCACACCCACGCGTCTTCGTTTGAGACTCCTCCACACAGCGCAACCGATTACGTACTGACGCTGTGCGGCTCTGAATTATTTCGTGATCGTGGAGCGGCCACCCGAGACGCTAGAAGGACTGCGGTCTTCTTGCTCCATTGCCCGAAGGCTGCCTTGAGCTCGGCATCCCGCCCTGTGTATGAAGAAAAGGTAGCTTATAACCGATCTTGACTCAACCCATGCCGCAATGTAACACAGGATGCACAAATGGGGGCCCATTATACAGGCTTTGAAACCCTGGTTTGAGACGCTAGGGCCATCGTCAGTCAGGTCTCCGGCAGTGAATCTGCTTGTGCTACGTCCTTGTGTGTTGCCATCCGCTACCCTAGAGCAGGGACTATAGTTTATCCGATGACGCTTTTTAGTCAGTGGATCTCCATGCGCCATCTTGAGCACTTGGAGGCGATTGACATCCGCCACCGATCCCTTCGACAAACCCAGACTCAGGATCCAGATCTGCAGCCGACCCTGTCAGCAGTGCATAATGTCAAGGATACTCCTCGCCCGCGCTCCGCGCCCCTTCTCCAGAGTGCTCAGCACGCGCAGCTACTCCTCCTCGCCCTTCTCCTCCCAGCCCGGCCCGCCCAAGCTGCCGGCCAGGGAACAAGCCGAGTTCGAGCGACTCCAGCGCCAGGCCGCGGTGTCGCCCGCCTTCCAACCCGAGGCCCTGGAAGCAGACAGAAGCGCCGCCGCGACGGCAGTCGACCCCGTCGTCGAGGAATTGGGCGACGGCGGCCTCCAACGTGGCGCCAAACCCGAGTTCGACGGCGACGTGAACCCCAAGACCGGCGAGGTCGGAGGTCCCAAGAACGAGCCTCTCAGGTGGGGGGACAAGAGCGACTGGAGCTACAATGGACGAGTCACGGACTTCTAGAAGAATAATGGCCCAACACAACAATCACTGCATAGCCGAGGTCAGGTGTTGACTCCAACCAGAGCTCTGTTCCCAAGCTAGAGCCTTTATCACGTTTACACGATTAAGAGGATATAGAGTGTACAATAAATGTAACATTAATCAAAGGGGTATTTATCCAGTATTACAAATATCGCGAGCAAATGTGTAGCCATCAGATCGCCTTCTCGCTTGTATAACGCAGAAAGATCATTACCAAATCCCGGTTTTGTGATTTCCCTGCCTCAACGCCAATAACACGTTCCCAATGGCGAAAATAAATCTGCCCCATCTAGATAACCCGGGGGATGGTTCACCTCTCTGCCTCCGTGACAGCAGTAGCAGAAGTAGCCTCCTTGGCTTCCTCGGCCGTGTTTGTCATCTCAATGTCCTTGCCCTCGCTGGGCTCCTTTGGCTTCTCTGAAGACTCGTTGTCGTCCTCGGCAAGGTTCTCCTTGTCGCCGTCGCTGATCCTTCGGTCTTTTAGGTCCTCCTCAACGTGTCTCTCTTCCCCATTGCTACCGTTGGCCTTCCACCAGTTTCCTGATACTTCGCCCATTAGGCGCTTCTCTTGCTCTTTGTCAAACCCGTTTGTGTTGCCGAAGGTGCCCTTGACCTCCTGCATTGCCTTTCGCATTCGTTCCCGCCTCGCCCTGCCTCGTAATCTCGCTTGGGGCTGAGCTCCGTTCTCGACCCAGCGTAGACCAAGGACTTTGTAGCTTAGCCCATCGTGGATAGACTGTCGTGCACCGAAATCGCCTCCAAACTCACGGCTCGAGATTCCATGGCGGGTCGTGGCCGCGTACTTGGACAGTCTAGGCAGGATGAGCACGTTGACATGCAAGTCACGATCCTCAGGGATGCGCATCGGGCCGGACGCCGGCGGGGCCGAGATGAGATTCTCCGAGTCCAGATCCGTAGAATCATTAACCACTTCCTCCTTTCCCTTCCGTTTCTTCTCAGCGACCGCATCCAAGTCGAGCATGTGAACATCCACCTCCTCGGTCCATTCACCCTTGATCCAACCACCATGGATACAGGCCGCGACCACATCTGAGTCGTCAGTATAGACGTCAGTACCCCAGAGATAGCCACGGGAAGTGATCTCCTCGCGAGCCAGTGGGGAAAGATGAATACGCGGCACCTTAACCGTCAAGACGCAGTTCAACTTCCCTTTGATCATCTCCAACGGAAGTGGTTTGGGATTGGATGAGAATCCTCTGTGGGCGGGGGTCTTCGGCACCAGGCGACCCGTTTTCAAACCAGCTTCGTAAATAAAATCTCCGAGATGGTGTCGGGGATACTTCGCGACTGCGTCCAAAACAGCTTGTGATGAGATCGACATCTTTATTCGAGGCGGGATCGCAGGAACAGGATTCGGGGCCGGTTTCGCTGGCATGTTCTGAGCGGGCTGGGCTGGCCGTGGTCCATGGTGATGGTGATGATGATGATGAGCTGGGACAGGAATTTTGTCGCCCGGGGTTAGAGCTGAGTTTGCACCACCCTTCACATTTTTGAACGGCGGGGTCGTCCCTGGAATCAGCTCCTCGCCCAAGCGGTGGTGGTGGTGATGATGACTAGGAAGGAGTCGTCAGCAATGAGTTAGATATTACGCGAGACACAAAGATTAACCATTTGCGGGGGGGTTTACTCACTGATGATGATGATGCGGGTGACCCTTAGCACGCTTGGCCTTGCTCGGGGTCAGACGATCCGAACTGTCGTCATCACGACTGTCTTCTTCCTTCAGCTTCCTTCTCCTACCCTTGGTTACCTTGCCAGGCGCATCCGCCGGTTCAGGTGCCTCAACGTTATCCTCTCGCTTAGCCAAGGACGCAGTCGTGAATGGGACCGTAGAAGACGCGATTGGGCTAGATACACCAAGGCCGCCAACACCACTGCCAATTCCGGAAAACATTCGGCCGAATTCGCTCTTAATACCTGGTTCGGCGGCATGTCCCGGTTGCTGAGGCTGGGCGCCTTGGACGGCCTGGGGGAGAGGAGAGATACGTCCTTTGCGGTTTTCGTGGAGCACATTAAGCAAGTTCCGCTGGTGTCCTATCGCACCTGGATCCTCGTTAGGGCGGTGCCGGGAAGCGTCGAAGTGAGATGTGCCGGGAGTATTGTTATATGAAACAGGTGGCACCGGGCCCGGGGGAGGTTGATTATCTACGGGTTTGCCTCGCTGAGCATGCTGTTGCTGCTCGTGGTGTGGTTGTGGAGGCAGCATGCTCGCCCTCGATCGTTCAGGCGAGTCGTATGGGGGAATCGGTGCTGTCGAATGTGGTCGTTGGGGGGCCGGGTGCGAAGTGGGAGGATATCGATCTGGGTGAGGCGGTCCCTGATATGGCGGTCCTTGCTGCTGCTGCTGCGGGTAGTGTTGATATTCTGGGTGCTGTCTCTGGTGTTCCATCGGCGCCCGGTAACTCGACTCTGGTGGTTGCCGGCCCCAGTGGGGATCTCGGGCTTCTCTGGAGTCGGGGGGCGGCCGTCCATACTGTTGCTGGGGCGGTTGATTCCGTGGGGGTTCGTGCGGGTGCATGTGCTGTCGTCCAATGTCACCGCCTGAAAATGCACGCTCGCGCTGTTGTTGCTCGCGCTGTTCCATCTCCCCCTGACGCTCTCGATCCGGCCGATATCGCTCATCGTAACTGTAAGGGCGCAACCCTGTCCGCTCGGGATTATACTCTGGTCCAGCCACCGGCCTACCTAACTCGTCTCGACGAGCATATCGTTCCTCCGGTCCAGGCTCTCTCGAGTCGATCGGCCGTGATCGCATGCCAGGAAAGGCTTTTGGTTGGCTGCTCGGGCGAGGAGGCGGCGCGGCGGTGGGAGGCATTCTTCCAGGGTCTCGCGAAGGATCGCCCGGTGCTGACGGCTGGCGGGAGTGATATGCTTGAGGCGTACTGTACCGCTGAACCTCAGGTGTAGAGTATGGGCCAGGACCCCGAGGTGACTGCACCGGGTTCGCGCGCGGGTCGTAGGGTCTGTGATGGTCGGGGGTTTGCGGTCGTCGAAAGGGGACAAACTCGGTGGAATGCATCCGCGGCGAAGCGTGGACAGATGGTGTAAAGTTCGGGGCCGAGCCAGGGGGCCCAGCGGAGTGTGGAGCATAATGTTGTTGTTGACCTGCAGGTGGTGGCTCTCGAGGAGCTGGAGGCGGACCGCCCAAGAGCGACGATATCGACATGGAGCTGCCCGGACCTCCTGTGCGCGACGCCGGTCCTGGCGCAGGGAGTTCTCGAGATGATGGAAAAGATGACGGGGGCCCCAGGGGGACGAGCGGCGCCCGAGGCGGCGGTGGTCCAGCTCCAAAACCGCCCATGCCGTGCGCTTGGGGTGGCGGTTGTTGTGCCATCGGGTGCTGCTGGTGATGCGAAACCCCCTGCTGAGGAGGAGAGTTGGGGGGCGGCATCGCGCGACCGAGTTCTCTACCTGAGGGCAAGGAAGAGGAGCTCAGCGCACGCGAATGATGCGCTGGCCCCTGCGGTTCGGATGAATACGATCGCGGGTTTGTGGCTGCCGGAGGCAGATAGGGCGGTGCATCCGACGGGGTCCGATTATGAGGCGCATACACAGGGCTGTGGCTCCCGTGGGCGTACGTCGCGTGCGGAGGATGCGACGGGTGGTGATGCGAAGTCGGTGTTGGAGTTGGAGCTGGGCCAAAGGGAGGATGGGGAATGTTGTGGTAGGGTGAAGGCGATTGCCTGGTCCCCATAATTGGCGATCCGGATTTTCCAGCTTAGCGGCAGAATTCTGATGGGCCGGGGACTCGCAGGCCTGTCAGGACGGCGGGCCAGTTCTGATCCAGGCACAACACCCAGCCCAGCTGAGACCGATGAGCTGCCTGAGCCTGAGAATCAGTGTACCCGTGCTCTACGGGAAGCGGTGGCGCACGATGGGCCAGCCCGCAGGTACTACAAGGTACCTAGCCTAGTGTGTGGCACCGCGAGAGACAAGTTGGTTACGCGTGGCGCTCGGGCCACAACGTCCCACCCAACGTAGAAGGCGGTCAGGCAGAGAGAGCGAGATGCTGGGGTCCCCAAAAAAAAAAATTGCAGATGGAAAAGGACGGATCACGCTGCTTGCGGAGCAAAGGTCCCAGACCGCCAGGCACGAGCGATCATGAGCGCTGACTATTCGAGGCGGGCCAGGCGCAGCTGTGGCCTGGCTGTAAATCGTTGTCGGTGTTTGGCGAGCACCGCGTTCGAGGAGGTTCGCAGCTCGGGCTCCAGGTGTGCAACCTGCAAAGCACGCGCACAAGCAAAGCTGCTCCGACGACGAACGTACGAGACCCGCTGTGCTGTCGGGTCTCAGTGGTTTGGGTGGGATGGAAGCGGTGTTAGCAGGTGTGAGCCGCAATACTTGTGATTCTCGCCCGGCCCGGCAGACAAAAAGAATACTGCACCCGGTCACCGCCCGTGGTAGGTAGCAGAGTGTGGCGAGTGCTTCGATGTCGTCTCGAGCTGGTCACTGGTGGGAGGCTCGAGGATCTTGGCGGATGCGCAAGAAGGGAAATGGAGATTTGGGAAATGAAGAGGAAAACTCAATTTCCGATCTAACAGTCCTCACCTGGCAGTAAAATCTGGGCCGACAAAGCTCATTACGCGCGCTTGCATATTTGCCTGTGCTCGTGTGGGAGTCGCCCGGCTACCAACCTCTGGACCAGAGCTAAAGATAGACTGGGGGCTGGAGCTGTCCTCCACAATCCGCTGGCTGCTGCACATTATTACATGTAATAAAGTTCCGTGTTAAGTTGTTAGTAGTTGCACCCCTACCCCGGTTTGGCTCGCCAGTGTGCCTGCTGATCTAAGTCATCGTCACCGTGGCCAATCAACCAAAGCTTCACGCCATAGGTTCCATGCACAAGACCCGGGTGCAACCATCCAGCACTGTGCAGGCCAAAGCGCTCGCTGAGACGCTGGCGCAACGCATCTCAAATGAATTTTATCTTATACTGGATCTCAGTTAGGCTGTCCTTT